AATTGCATCAACGTAGAATTCTTCCTGCACACGGCGTCGTGTACTGAGTACTGGGTACTGGGTACTAAACGTTTTTACAATTTACTCGCTTGTATCTCCATCCCAAGTCAGCTTGCTCTATCAATGTATCGCTTGCAATACTTTACAGGGTAGACATTGAGCGCCTGTGTGATGTCGGCGAGGAGTAGCTCGGGGAGCTTTCACAAAAACAAATAACCCCCGCCGCCAAGACGTCATCGCGTCTCTCTCTGAAATGCTGCTGCATCTTCGCCGTGCTTCACATATCCCTTTGCAACCAATTTACACCTACCTATTTTCTGTATCTTCGAAAACGTTGCCGACGTGCAGCCACAACTTAATCTCGGACGACAGCTCAATGAAACGCTCTACACCTGCAAGATCACGTTCATAAAAGCCACCAGCGTCCCAGTCGCCGACTTCAACGACCTGTCCTGCGACCCGTACCTCCAGGCGACGCTCACCGCCGAGAAGGGTCTTGAACAGCCCGATGGCATCCCCCAGATGCTCACCTACCGCACCCAGACGTGCCGGCGGATGCTGGACCCAGAGTTCAATGCGCACTGGGTCGTGTCCGGCATCCCCCAATCGGGCTTCCTGCTATCGGTGCGGCTACGCGACGAGGATCCAGGGAGCTACGACGACGACCTCGGCAAGGCCGTCTTGCGCATGCCGAATGCGGGCGAGGGCGTGCTCTCAGAGAGCTGGCGGTCGGGCGACAGGGAGTACAAGGTGCATAAGCGCAAAATAAGCATCATGGGCAAGCTTTTACGTGCACGACAAGGGGGGACGCTGTGTACCTGGTACGCTTGTGGGTACGCTACGAAGTTATGGGCAGGGTAGAGAGCCGGGAAAACTGGCGGATGTGCACTGTAGGACCCCGTGCGTATATGCCTCTTCTGTTACTGAATGTTCAACTCTGAATTTCTTGCCTTCATTAATCTAGGCAAATACATTCGATACTTCTCCCCACTCATAGACAAGTTCCTCAGCTCGTCCAATTCTCCAGACAGTGGCGACCGCAACGCCGTCGTGAAGCCTACCGTGTTCGTTGCGAATCGCCCGCAGCTCGCGGGACCCGTCCCCTCTTTGCTTCACCACCGCTACGCCGGCTTCACGCCCTTCGTGAAAGCGATGTTCCGCAAGAGAGATCACACGTTATACAAGCAGCCTATGGAGATATACAAGTGGGACAAGACCGTCGCGTGAGGCGTGATCTGCGATTCACATATGTTATCGTGCTGGACGGCAAGCGGCGGTTAATTGTGAGTACGTGCTCTATGTTCTTGTTGCTAAATCGACGCTAACTTCGGTCTTGAACGTCCAGGAAATTGGAGACCAGACGACCATGGAGTTCCTCGGCGAGCTCACCATGCACTCGGACATCGGGGTCGTGTACCGCAGCGAGCTCTTCGTGCGCCCCCTGCGGCATCATCACACCGCAGAGGACCCGTCGCTCGGCGCTTGGCGTGCCCGAGCCATCGCAGAATACGCACACCGATACCCACGATCGCGACCGCGCCCGCGCCGGCGACGCACACGACCAGACCGAAGACGAGCACTTCGACTAGACACACTTGCCGCACGACCCGGCGCTGCACGAGTTTGCGATCGATAGCGACTCGGGGTCGCACCGGCCGCGCACGGACCTGCTGCGCGTGCTGCACGCATACCTCGCGTTGCCGCGCAACCTCGGTGCGCTTGGGCGGGTCACGACGTTGAACGCGTTTGACGAGCGCTCAAGCGCTGGAAGGACGCGCGCTAGCGGGCGAAGGCGCAGAAAGGCGAGAGGCTCGTGCGCGCGGACAATGTTTCGAGCGCGTCGAGCGGGAATTCGGTTAGTGAGATCAGTGGTGCCAAGGGTGTGAGGACCCGGGATGTGAGGGCTGTCTCCAAGGAGGGCGCGAAGAGAACAAGGGAGGGCGAGGATCAGGATGCACAGATGAAGAGGGTGGAGGGACAGCCTGAGCCTGAGGATGGTGAGTTCTCGAGCCAGCGAGTCGCAGTAGAGAAGACAGGGACTGATTTGTTTGCCTTTCGAAATCTAGATACCATCCATGATGCTGGCTACACTATCCTATCTGCTCGATATCCCCTCGTAATTATTGTTTTGCTAACTGAACTTTGTTGGATTCTTATTGATGTATGTACATTCGTAATGGCATCTGTATATCTATGAGTTGTAAGATAGCAGCCCATACTCTTCGGGCTTGAAGTCTTCGATCGACATGAGCATCTGATCTGGTTGTTCGATGGTGGAGAGCGACGTGGTCGCGCCTGTACTGTCAATTGTACCGACGGCAACGAGGATCGGGGCGGGTGCCTACACCACTGTAACGGCTATTTAGTCAGTCGCGCGGTCGATAATAAACATTCGCGTTGCGCACCATTCGTGCCGACCTCCTTCTAGCCCGCGCGCCCGGAATCGCATCTTCAAAGACCTGGCCCTTCCTCTGTTTCGCCCTCTGCTCCTCCATAACCTCGCAGTCATCATCCTCCAGCTTCCCTTCCGAGACAAATCCTCGTCATGACAAGCACATTCCGCGGCTAGACCGTCGTCATCGCATTCGACGCCGTCCTCGAGGCAGCCAAAGAGTGCGTCCATGAGGTGTACGCCTTTCTGCACACAGTCGCGGGGCCGTTGCTGCACGAGGCGCACGACGCCCAGACGCGGCTGCGCCATGAGCCAAGTGGTCGAGTAAACAGCGGTCAAGCCGCAGAAGGGAAGAGAGCCCGCAAAGATTTCCTACCGCGACGAGAGAGACGATCTCCCGCCGATCGCGGCGGTATCCAAACTGCGGGCCTCCGTGCGGTGTCTCTGCCGTCCACGAGTACGTCGGATACGCCACAGAGGTTTAGGCCTGCCCAGGGGGGTCCAACAGGGCCCACAGTGTCGGCCGCAGTCTGTGTTGGTATCATCGCAGGGAACAGAAGGGCCTCCTTGGTGTCTGGACTACAGTCAACAAGAATACAGAGGAACAAAAAAGAGGCAGACATACTGGCAAGGTCGGTCGTCAGGAACTTCATCAAACGGTTGATACTGATGCCCCACCCGCCCGTCGGTGGGAGACAAGACTGGCATGGCAAATTTATTAGGTGGAATACAGATGCAGCTGAGGATTAGCACGTACGCGTTAAAACGTCTCGTCGATACCCTGCGCCTCGTCGTTGCCCTGACCCTCGGAATCGTTGCTCGAACGAATCGTACGCATTCCAAAACTCCTTCCGTGGGTGAAGCCTTCGAAATATTCACAAAGACCAGGGCGCGATCGGCGATACCCAGCGGCGACACCACTTATGGATGACTAACTGCTCGATTGTTGGTAGAGCGTCAGGAGGAGAATTTGCGCGGGTAGGCTTACCGATGAAGACGAAGAAGGTGCGGAGGAGCTCGATGAGCTCGCCGACGAGCTTGTGCCAAGCACGCGCCCGTTCGTCCGGCGCTCACTGCACTCGATGTTGTGCTGTAAAAGAGAATTCAGCAATCGAGAGCAACATCGGTGAGAAAAACAGCGGGCCTTCTGGCACACCTCGCGCAGGAGCTTGTTCGCTTCCTCCGTACGCAGCGCCTCTCCCACCAAAATTTTCGCCCCGAGCTTCTCCTCCACCGTCCTCATGTCGTATCGCAGCCACGGCCGCTTCAAGTCTCCGGCTCGTACGCCTTCTCGCTTGTCAGGCACTTCGATGAGGCTCTCGATGGTTTCGACGATGTCGTACATGTCCGCGTATACCATGTGCGTCAGGTCAACCACCCTCGTTCCGCAACATGCTCTCGATCTCGTGCGCCTGGTCTAGACCGCCGCCGCCGAGCTGTTTGAGATGGAGCTCGGGAGCGATAACAGTGGTACAGGTCGAAGTCGAGGCCGTCGTGGTGCGCCATGAACGGCTTCGCAACCGCACCATCAGCGATCGTGCCCGTCATCGGTATCTCGACCTCGAAGAAACCGAGGGTGTCAAAGAACCGGTGGATGTAGTCGGCGATTCGGTTGCGGGCGATGAAGATGCGCCTTGCCACGGTGTCCCCGCCGAGAGTGAGGTCTAGGGAACGCTTATGGTGGCGGGGTTTCCAGTCCTCGAGGCCGAGGGGGCCTGACGGCAGCTGATGGAGGTCCGGGGAAAGGAGAACCATCTGAGGGGACAGTCGAGAGCTCGCCAATCGCGGTACGTCCCGGGACTCCAATAAGACCGACGATGTCTCCACAGCGGAAGTACTCATGTCGCGCCACGATGCCTTCTAGGTCTTCGGCATTTCTAAGGAGCAATAGTTTCTGTGAGCCTGTAGTCGACAGAACAACAAAAGGACTCACCACTTGATCGCCGTAATTTGCACCTTTTGGCCCTCGCCGTGGAGGTCACAGAAATGGAAACCTTGATGAGACTGTTGTGAATATGTCCTGCAAGGCATCCGACGGCGCCCTCGACCTTCCCTCCGGG